CTGGGGCTGGTCTGGGGGAAGGGGGACTGTGCAGAGCTTTGGCCAGAGGGCTGCTGGTCTGGGGGGAGGGGAACTGTGCAGTGCCTGGGGGGCAGGCCAGAGAGGGTGCAATATGTCCCATGACATGCCCATAAAAGACTGGGGCTGCCCCTCCCCTGTCAGTGGTGGCTGAGGGGCTGCTCAGTGAGTTACCAGCATTCTGGGGTCCCTATGGCTGGGCGCCTGGCACTCGAAAGCAACCTTTGGCACAGGCTTGCGGGTGCTGCAGTGCAGCAGGAACACAACCCCGGCCAGGCCAGGCCAATGTGTCACGGCGCTGGGGCTCACCTACAAATGTATTTACTCTGGGCCCCACGGTGCCCAGCTCCAGCCAGCCCCCTCACTGGGCAAGAGAGATGCTTTCTGTGCCCCTCAGGACTCTGAGGCAGGGCAGAAGGAGGAGACTCTAGGAGGTCAGTTTCTATGACCCCCACCCTGGCCCTGCTTGTCCTGTTCTGCTGAGGCCCTGGGCTGGGGACACACCCTGACTGTGGAATCCGCCTGGGACTGCCCCACGGTGCCCAGCTCCAGCCAGCCCCCTCACTGGGCAAGAGAGATGCTTTCTGTGCCCCTCAGGACTCTGAGGCAGGGCAGAAGGAGGAGACTCTAGGAGGTCAGTTTCTATGACCCCCACCCTGGCCCTGCTTGTCCTGTTCTGCTGAGGCCCTGGGCTGGGGACACACCCTGACTGTGGAATCCGCCTGGGACTCCTGCCAGCCCAGCCCTGGGCTCCCTCTTGCTCCTAGAGCCCAGCTGGGAGAGGACTCCTGGGTTCTCCCCGGCCTGGGGAGGGGAGGGGTGTGGGGCTGGGGCTGAGGCTGAGAGCAGGACTCTGGGTTCTCCCTGGAGAGGGGAGGGGTGTGGGGCTGGGAGCAGGACTCTGGGTTCTCCCCGGCACGGGGAGGGGAGGGGTGTGGGGCTGGGAGCAGGGCTCTGGGTTCTCCCCAGCCTGGAGAGGGGAGGGGTGTGGGGCTGGGAGCAGGGCTCTGGGTTCTCCCCAGCCTGGGGAGGGGAGGGGTGTGGGGCTGGGAGCAGGG